AGAGAGAGAGAGAGAGTCTGAATTCATAGCAGACGGATATGGAGTCTTCCAGTTGCAGGTGCTGGTGGAAGGACCGTTGTTTTGCTAAAATTTCAAACCTTCAACTTAAACCCAAAGCCATTAGACTGCAGGGGCTGGTGGAAGGACCGTTGTTTTGCTACAATTTCAAACCTTCAACTTAAACCCCAAAGCCATTAGATTGCAGGGGCTGGTGGAAGGACCGTTGTTTGCTACAATTTCAGACCTTCAACTTAAACCCCAAAGCCATTAGATTGCAGGGGCCGGTGGAAGGACCCTTTTTTTGGGGATTTATGTGAATAAATTAGTAAGAGGTAGAGATCGATCGTATGGTTCGCAACAATTTTTTGGCATTCCCCAAGCCATTAGATTATAAGACGAGACGGTTGGAATGTGTCCTTCCCATCCAAATAATATTTCAAAAATTGTTGGACCTATGACACACCCAAACGGTCATTGAATGAATACCCAGTGATGATAGAAAACATGAGAAGTTGTAGATACGCTCTGACCCTGCTTTCTAGGCTTCTCCCCGCTCTTCCCATGGACCCTGTTTTTGTCCCCAGACTCATATTAGTCTTATGCGGGCTCCGTCTAACAATCTTTTTTTTATCGAAAAAGTTTATATAAGGTTGCAACTTTAAAATTTAGAATTAAAGATGCACCTAAAAAATCGATCGGAAAATGTTGTTTTGATATTGAAAAACCCTCAAATTGATCATCTCGACATCGTGATATATGAATATAAAATAAAATAAAGATTTTGAGTCCCAAAAATAGTGCATCTTGCAATACATTATCTAGACCGTCCATTTTTAAGACTTTCATATGTTTATAGATCTACTTGATTTTAATTATTTTTGGAGTTTTAAATTTTATAATTAGATATGAAAATAGATTTTCAAAGAATCCTAAAAATTCTTTATACCCAAATTACATGTTATGATAAAATTTGGGGGTACGCCTTAATTGGATTGTTTAAGGTTGCAACCTTATAGAAACCACACCCTTTTTTATACAGGTCTTGGGTCCAAATTTGTAAAGATCCATGCTCTACATTATGATGATCATGAATGTAAAAAATAAAATAAAATAAAATTTTAAAACACTTTTGTAAAAAAATTTCCTATCCATAGGAGATTTTTAGTCATGGAGATTTATCTTAAATATAGACGTTTGCGATTGAGTGGGCTAGTGACTCCATTCACTCACAAAACATTTTTCTTCTTCCAATGCTTTCTAAATTGGATGGGGTTTTTATAAGGCCTAGGATTACAAAAGCAAAATAAAGCCGTACCTCAAATCCTCAGGGAATGTACTTTTGGCAACAAAAATATCTATGAAGACTCAAAAATCAATTTCTAACACCAACAATAAATTTTGATACTCAAAAAAGGGTTTGTATACAATGAGACCATTTACTTTTTATATAGGGCTGTCACAATTACTTACAATCATCGGATATGAAATCTAATAGCTTAGGTGTGTCACAAAGTTAAAGAAAATTTCACATCCAATAGTCAAGATTAATTGTGATCATCTTGTACTAAAGATAAATAGTCTCTTTATATACTTTCCCCTCAAAAAATAATACAGATCTTGCAAATCATTGAATACTTATTTTTTGAAGTAAAATAGACAGTCTAGATAATTTGTTATAATATACACAAATTTTAGAGCTTGAAATTCCCTTGTTTTTTTCCGACAATAATATTGATATCAAGTCGAAATGATAGATGTAAACGTTTTCCAATACTTGACGTAGAATTTTCGATGAGTTATGAGGTGAGGATTTATTTATTTCAATAGGACTGCAGCCCTATCAAACTATTTTCCTTTTAAAATTACATTATTTGCACATTTATTCATGCACCCTGTCGTAAAGTGAAAAAAATTAATTTTTAAGACCAAAATATTCTTTAGTTTAGCCTATTTTTCTCTCCCAAAATGTGTTGTCTAAATTGTGCCAGTTCTGCAGAAAAATGTGTCCGACCAGCTTCTAATCTTCAAAATGTTCAAGTCCAACTTCTGATATTAGAATTGTGCTAGTTTGATACAAATTGTAACAAACGGACTTATATTGAAATTGTGACAATCCAGCATAAAAATGTGCTTGACCGGCTTCTAATGCCCAAAATAGTATGTGCTAGACCGGCTTAGAGAAAAAAAGTGGGGGCTAATAAAAAAAAGAGAAACGTGGGTTAAAATGCAAGGAATGGTCTAAAAATCAATGCTTTTACTTGAAAGATGGGTGTAAAAATGAATAATATTAGAATTAATAGTATAATTTAAGAAGTATTTGAGGGATGCCTCGAAAATAGAGTCTAAGGGGTATCTATAATTTCTCCCGGAGCCTAGCCAGGCTAACCCTAGCCTTGGCCGTGTCTAACCCGCCTGATCTGGACTTAACTAGGACAAAAGAGGTCCCGGTCCAACCCCGGCCTTCGAGCCACATAATGTAGCCCATGCTCTAGTTTTTAAGGCCGAATCGGCCCAGCCACCCAATTGCTAGCCTCATTTTCGGCATACCCCCACAGCATAAACTTACTCGAGGACAAATCCCAAATAAATTGGGATTGTCACGTAAAACAGCGTTAATGGTTTCCCTTCATGTAGCCTCACATGTTTTTTTCAAATGTTCCTCGTTTTCGTATAATTCCCTGTTTTCGACTCCCTTTTACCGGCCTTCTGGATCTATGGAGAAATATTACTTGGAAAATTTTATTTTTTTTCAATTGTATTTCAAGAAAAGTATTTTCTATAAAAATAAATTTTTGCTGTTTGGATGGTACATGTATGCCTAACATTTTTATGGCTTTTTTTTTTTTTTTTACTTTTTTTGTTAAATATTTTTATTGTATTATTCATTATAATGTCATTTTTTTTCATTAAATTTGTGATAGTTTCTCTTTCTAAATATTTGAGATAATTTCTCTCTCTAAGATTTAAGATTTGAAAAAATCTCTCTTTAAAAATTTTGAGATAATAAATTTTGAGATCTGTTCTTTTTCTAAAACTTAAAATTTGAAATAGTTTATCTCTTTAAAAATTTTGAGATAGTTTCTATCTCTAAAAACTTAAAAAATAAGGAAATTTCTCCCTCTATATATTTTGAGATAGTTTCTCTTAAGAAACGTTTAGGTACTTTCTCTCTAAAACTTAAAAATTTGAGATAGTTTTTCTTTCCACGACTTAAAATTTGCGACAGCTTCTCTCTTTAAATTTTTTGAGATAGTTTCTCTAAAAAATATCAGGTATTTTCTCACTATTAAACCTAAAGTTTTGGATAGCTTTTCTCTCCATAATTTTCAAATACTTTCTCTTTATAAAACTTAAAATTTAAGATTGTTTATCTCTTGAAATTTTTTTTTTATAGTTGATCTCACTAAAAGTTAAAATTCGAGATAGTTTCCTGCACTAAAATTTTTGAAATAGTTTTTATCTTGAAAAATTTACAAGTATTTTCTCTCTAAAACTTAAAAATTGAATCTCTCTAAAAATTTTGAGATAGATTCTCTCTCTAAAACTGTTTTGGTACTTCGCTCTCTAAAATTTGATATAGTTTCTATCTAAAATTTTAAAATATTTTCTCTCTCTAAACCTTAAATTTTTAAATAGTTTCTCTCTAAAAATTTTGAGATAGTTTCTCGCTCAAAATTTTCAGGTGCTTTCTCTTTATAAAACTTAAAATTTGATATAATTTCTCTCTCTAAAATTTTTGAAATAGTTTCTCTCTCTAAAACATATTTAGATACTTCTCTATCTAAGATTTGATATAATTTCTCCCTCTAAAACTTTAGGATATATTTTTTCTCTAAAACTTAAAATTTGAAATAGTTTCTTTAAAAAAAGTTTAAGATAATTTTTCTTCATAAATTTTTTTTATAGTTTTTCTCTTTAAAATTAGAAATAGTTTCTCTCTAAAATTTTAAAATACTTTCTCTCTTTAAAACATAAATTTTAAGATAGTTTCTCTCTAAATCATAGGGTTTGTTAATGTAGAATTAATTATATTTTATAAAGTGGATGTCTCTATAACGGAGAAATCTGGTTGGAAATCAATTTCATAAGGTAAAAGATAATGATACAAATTTTTTTATTTTTAACTCGAAATGAGGAAAATAATTACGAGCGGAAATACTTTTCAGTCACAACAATTCGATCCAAATGCCATAAATGTGCCATGTCCACTTAAAACCATCCTGGAAATGTATTTAGGGTATGAATAGTCTTGAGAGGTTGCGTACACGATTTTTGTCCTTTTCGCTTCCTTTTGGGTCACAAGGCCTCTCATTTTACCTTTGGTATCGGTTTAGAATCGGCTTTAAAAAGAGATTTCATCATTGATGGAATCTGGAGAGATAAATTATCATGATTCTCCAACCTATTATCCCCTGCCTCTTTCTCTCCCTCTCTTTACTCCTACCTATGTTTAACTTTTCTTGTTATGACCCGGACCCCGATTACCGTACCTTACACAATGATGGGCGTTCGAGTGGGGGTTCATAATCCAATGCAACGTTTGTCACTCAGGTAGGAGTGGACTCAACACCTTTATATTCAGAAATCGAGCAAACCATGGAAGAAAACTAAAGCAACAAACTTAACAGTAGAAGAGTAAGGAAATATTCCATACACCAACCATCCATAATATAGAACTCTTCCAAAATATTACATTCAATTCGGGGCATCAAGGCCTGATGTTACACATATCAACATAGATAAAAAACCAGGGCCAAACAGCCTAGACATAGATAAGGTCCAAGCACCTTCTTCAAGAACACTAGCTTCGTACTCCGGCTGTAAAACACAAACTCCCAGCCTTGCATTTGTCGTTATCAAACTACAAGGAGAAGGGAAAAATAATGGGAAGAGCTATACAACCCAGTAAGCAGGTCTAG